AGGGAAAGTAAGATCAGATTATTTGCAGTCACTAACAGCCTTTGGCCAACTAAGAAGACTGTCCTGGGTTCAAAATCCACATTTACCTAACAGGAAATCTAAAACCTTGTTTGTTTAACTGAGTCCTATAGCAAAACTTTGAGAAGCAGGCTTGAGACCCCAAAAAAGCATCCTCAAGCAGCTATCAGAGTTCACCACTGCTCCTAACATTGCTCCTGGACCACCTCCTCTGCTACTCCACTGATGAAACCTGCATGACTATAATTATCTATATAATCTCAAAGTTAAATTATGATTATTCCTTGACCTTGATGTAGTACCCTTCTTGGCAAATTCCTGTCCAAAGTTCATTGTAACTAGTAAAAATAATAGAGATTGAATTGCCTGCCAAGGGCTTCCTCAAATCGGCAGCCAGGAGCAAACCCAATGCAGATTTTTATATCATACATCAGCCTTCTCCAACCTGGTAGCCTCCAGGTTGTGGAGACAGCAAGTTCCAGAATCCCAGCTGTATTTCTGCCAGGCTGGCCATGGCTTCAATACTTCTGGACAGCATCAAGTTAGAGAAAGCTTCCAGATGTTAGAGAGCTGCAATAATGGAGCCAGCTAAGCTACTATTAGACTTTATATACTACAATGGATTATAAGTTTGAGCAGAGACTTCTTTACACCCGGACCCACACCTCAGTCCATGTAATTGTAAGCAAGTCTCATTTGACTTAATCTTCCTCCCTAAAAGAAAGATGCACAACTCTGGGGTGGCCATAGGTCACAACGATCAGTTCAAAGACGAGCCAGGCATTTAAAAAAAAGTGACAAAACATTTTATTTATACTGAAACCAACATTTTGTTTAAATTAAAACAATTTACAGCTAATACGATTACTGCATCCCCATGTATTTCCTGCCACATAAAACACAACTGTGGTTGAGGGGATTGGGAACACCATCTCAGGAATCCTTGCAACCATGATGCTGTGCCTCCTACATGTGTGTGTGCTGCTTTGAACTCTATAGCTTAAATTAAAGAAAAGTTAAGTGCTGCTGCTGCTGCTGCTGCTGCTGATGATGAACATCAGGAGGATCTTATAAGAACCTATCATCCCTCTAAAAAGTTGCTTCTACCAGCATGATGGGCTTTTGCTGCTGACTTCCTAACCCCAAAAATGTGGCCATTGTGGTTTATTTCTCAAACCCTTTAGTCCAGGGGTGTCAAACCTCCGGCCCATGGGCCGGTTGCATCATACGGAGGCTGCACCCACCCCAGCTCTGGCAATGCAAAAAAAGTCATGATTCATTGCGACATGTCACATGATGTGGCGAGTTTGACACCCGTGCTTTAGTACATTTCAGGAAATTCCAGTTCATTATATACAAAAGGGTGTGTGTGTGTGTGTAGGGGCAGAAGTCTAAGAGATTCAAGCCATTCTTTGTGAATAGGAAGGTGGAGAGAGAGAGAGAGAGAGAGAGAGAGAGAGAGAGAGAGAGAGAGAGAGAGAGAGAGAGAGAGAGAGAGAGAGAGAGAGAGAGACCTCCAAGCTCTTTATGTGTCAAGGAAATTTAACCCTCTTGGCTGAAGGCCAGAAACTTTTCATGTGGATTGGAAACCTCAGCCAGGAGATTCTCGGGTGCTAGAAAAAAAAAACCTTTAATTTAAACCAGGTGCCTCTGGAAGAAGAAAAAAAAAACCCACTTCATGAAAGGCAAAAACTTGGTCCCGTTCCCTCAAAACAAAAGGGCAATCACGCACATTTTGACTGAAATATCCCCTTTTTGGAATGCAGCCTTCATGCTTTAAACAAACTTGCTGAAACCTCATCCATTTGGACAATCGGCATGAAACTGAGACTACCCATATTTCTGGAGCCAGAGCAAATGCTTGAGGAGGATGCCAGCTATGTCCGCCCAAAGCTGCAGAGGCCTTACAGTATGGAAAGCAGCACATAGGCTGGCAGGGAACAAAGGAAAGTGGGGTTTGTGGCTGTCAGCCTTCACAGTGGCCTTCCTTGATTGCTGCTGTCTGCAAAAGTTAACACTGTGAGTGCCATGGGAAGCAAGGAGGCCCACGGAAGACGGCAAGGAACACCATTCATACTGCCCACTTGCTGGCTGCAAGTGGGGACAGAGAGGTGTTGGGGACATCTGTTGCTGCTGTCACACCTTTGCCTACAATCCTTATTCCGGAATGGGACAAGTCACCATGGCCATTTCACCACAGCCATATCACCATGGCCAATTCGACGTGGCCATTTCAATGTAGCCAACTTCCCACGGGACAACTCACCACAGAAAATTCCATATAAATATTATCTTTTTGTGAAATAATATCAAAGAAACAGTGGTGGATAAAGTAGCAAGTTGTCCCACAGCAAGTTGGCCACGGTGAGTTGTCCTGTGGTGAGTTGGCCGTGGCAAGATGTCCATGGTGAAATCGCCACAGTGAGTTGGCTGTGGTGAATTGTCCTAGACCCTCCTTATTCACTTCCTTTTCTCGACTGTGGGGTTTGTGTGGGATAATAGAGAATGGCTGCTCAGGGATACAAATACCTGGAGATTTAAGAATACACAAGGTAGTCTCTGGATATAAAAAAAGGGGTTACTCTGTGAGGGGGTCCTTATTTTCTTGCAGACATTTCCTTACCCAAACTAAGTAACATCACCAGTACTGTATTGTACAGTAATGAAATGTCTGCAAGAAAACAACCAAGCTCAGAGAGCACCAAAGACATCCCACCCCATTTCAGCCTTGAGCTACAAATATTCTCTTTTATTGGTATCACTCTGTATTTTAATAAGGTTGACCACATGTGATTTCCTGCAGAAAATTCAAGGCTAACTCTAGGCCATTAAAAACATTACACAGATCTCTAGTCTATCCTATACAGCATAACAGTCTTCTTTGACCAGCAGCAAGTTTGGGGGATTTCTCATCAATTGCTACTTGGGGTCACATTTGGAGTTTTATGTCAGGATAATGATTTAAAGGCTAACCAGCCGATGTATGTAAGGTGGAGGATGCAATGATAGGAATGACTCAGCAGGTGTCTGTATACCTTTAAGAGCCTGAGTATAAAAGGGAAGACTTTTGCTGCTGTGTTCTCTCTAGTCCGTTTCCTGCTGTAATTGCTGTATGTTGGAGTTTGCTCTATTATCACGTGTATGTATTTTGTTTCTAGTGTATATTGTAGAAGCTGGGTTGACAAGATCAGAAATGAGGAGGTGATAAGCCGTCTGGGAAAGCTAAGGGAAATCATCAAAACAATTAAAAAATGAAAATTAGAATATTTTGGACATGTGATGCGACACCCAGAAAAATACGGCACACTCCATTTAATCCTCCAGGGAAAGATTGGAGGCAAACAAGGTCCAGGCAGAAGAAGAACATCATGGCTTCAAAATCTAAGGGACTGGTTTGGACAAAAATCAGCAACACTTTTTCACGCGGCTGCTGATAAAAACAGGATCGCCAACATGATCGCCAACATCTGATAATGGATATGGCACAAGAAGAAGTATATTGTAGATAGTGTAATAAAAACCATCATTTAATACAAACCACTATTTACTGTATTTACTCATAGGTTACCTCAGCACAATAAGACTGTTCATGCTCTGACACTTTATATTGATAAATCAAGTCCTCAATCACCAAATAATATCCTTTCCCAAGTAAACATTGGAAAATCCTCTACAATAACCAAAAGGAGCAGTAATGATGAACTGCAACTGATTAGATGAATGAAACCTTTTAAAAGTCCAGTCCTAGGAGACCTGACCACACCCTGTGCCAGGCATAAAAAAAAAAAAAAGATCCATTAGGACTCCTTCTTTGTTCCCTACTCTGAGTTGTGAGGCCAAAACTCTAGTCTTCCTCCCCCCCCATTTGGAGGGCTTGGACATTTTAAGGAGTAAAACTGCTTAAATGCTGCTGAAAGCATTCCATTCATTCCTTGTCAGAATGGGTCTGGTCCATCCACTTTTGGAAAGCAGCTCCAAACATGGCATACAAAGTCTGCCCTGAAGCTAACAAACATGGGCTCCTGCCTGATCCTTTTGCTCTTAAACAAGTAGGGCTAAACTGGACATCCAGACTTTCTGACTCTTTATGTCTCTTAATACATCTGCCTCTGCAGTTTGCCAAGGTTGTTCCCCCCCCATAGATATGTGGATCATTACACGAGGAAAAGAACATGTGCTGTGCATAAGAACACCATCTTTTCATTAATATTCTTTGCAGGTAAGAAAATGCTTTTGGAGAAGTATATGAGTATCGCACAGAAGGAAACTAATCTGCTGCAAAGTTAGAGGTCTCTGAATTTTCCTAAAAATACCCTCATGTTCCATCTTCCACCTCCCCATGTCCATATCAGCATCTCCTGAGCCTTTTGCATCAAAAGGAGAAGAGAATGACTCTGAGGCCACTGGTGCAGGAACCCCGGAAAATTCCAACTTTGCACACAAGAAATAACATTAACACAGCAACTCTTGGCTGGGATTTATAAAACACTCCATAAATCTCCAATGAAATTATTTATAGCGCCTTTAATGTCTTTCAGTAGCTGAAAGAAAGTACTCCAAATGCCGTGGAAATGTTCACTGACATCTATCATATAATTCTGAATGGGGAAAAATAAATAATAGGCCTCTGTTGCATTTTCGCTCTTTGTATGTATGGCGTAATTGGCGTGTATGAGGATTGCAGTGCTGAGAATTTTCAGCCAAGGCTACTATTGGTTGCACTCTGGGAATTGCAGTTCCCAACACATCTGGAGGGGCCCTGGGAGAGAAAGGTTGCCAGAGTAAAGCTTGAAACATTAAAAAGTAGAACTAAGCAATTGAAACTCTATACAATTTGCGCTAGGCAAAATATTATGCTAAAACTTTCTACATTTATTCTGTTTAGCTAATGTAATAACTAAGAAATATGAACACGATAATCTGTTTCTCAGCTGTTTTCAGCAGAAAGTTGCTTTTTGTTTGAGAATTAATTTCTGACTTACCCAGCTACAACTATAAAAAAATCCAGACGATTCCACGTGTCTCCCAGGTAGCACTTCTTCCCAAAAATCCCCAAGGCAATCATCTTGATTATCATTTCCACCGCAAAGAAGGCAAAGATAAAATCATCAAAACTCTGAAAGATAAAGAAGCAGGATCTGTGACAAAAATCTGAAGTAGTGGCAGTTCATTTTTCAAGAAATCTGACCCAATCTGTTCTAAGGCCATCTTCCATCACAATTTTATATGCTCCTAAAGACAACACTTCCCACATTTCTAAGTGTAAAAGAATGATGGGCAAGGAAATTATTTCATCCCCAGAAAAGGAGTTGAAAATGCACAGCTATATTATATCTGGACATTTCCTCATCTCCAGTGCCAAAGTGAGTGAAGAAAGCCTTTTCAGCTTGGCTATGAGTCTCCAATCACAATCAGATTTATTTAGGTAAGATCTGAACAAACTAGACTATGAATCAACCTCATCTGACAGATTGTTTGCCCCACCTTGTGTCAAAAACAACTCCCCTATATTTTAACAGTGGGAATTGGTGGTTTTGCTTCCTCTTTAGATCCAAATTTCAGTTCTCGGTAGATCTCCCACACTGAATAATGTTTGGATTTGAGGTGAGTTCCCCATCCCAAATAAATGTTTGGCTCTGAGTATTCTAATTCCTGCTAGTCTCTGCAGTAAATTTAACATTTACTGCTTTCCTTGGATATATGTCAGGAAAACTATGCATATGGATAGCTCAAGAATGATAGGTAAGAAATCCATCTTGGTTCTTTACCGACATGGCAAACAGATCAGAGAGAGAATTGCATCTAACAGAACTTTCCTACATCTATGGAATGTAGGACATGGGATATAAGGTCTTAAATAAGGTGAAAACATTTGCCATGAGAGCTATTCTCATTCAGACTTGCATATCATGTTCCTTATTTCTTTATTTGTGAAAATTTATATGACCTCTCAACTCACTTTCACTGACTCCCAGTAGCTTACAAAGATAAAAACCCAATATAAAAATCAATAAAAAGCAATAACCCCCCATGCCCCTGATGACAACAATCAATCAATCAATCAAATAAGCCCACTTGATGGGCTCCATCCAACTCTGGGTTCCCTGTGGTAAATCCCCAGGGACTTCCAAAAGAGTGCCAAAGTGGGGGGCAATTTTATCTCCTCAGAGATGATGTTCCATAGGGAGGGAACCACCATGGAGAAGGCCTTACTTCTTCATCCTGCTAGGTTATTAGGAGAGGGGATCTGTAACATTTCCTGCCTCCCTGTTCTCCCTCTGGTGGGTCAGGTAGATGTGACTGGGAAAGAGGGTCCTTCAAATAACCTAGTTCCAAGCCATATATGTCTTTGGAGGTGACAAACAGCACCTTGAATTGGACCCAGAAACAAATTGCCAGCCAATGCAGTACCAGGAGGAGAGATGAGATATGTGCACATTTAGGCCTGCACAAAACCATGCAGGCCACTGTATTTTGGACTAATTGAAATTTCTGGATACTTTTCAAGGGCAGTCCCATGTAGAGTCCTAGTTGGTCCTTTAAACAAAAGAAAAAGAAAGCTAGAGATGTTAGAGATTGAACCTGAAGCCTGTTGCAGTCAAAACATGGGCTTCTTTTCCCACTAGGCTAAGGCCTCTTTCTTATAATACATTTTGACAAACTGGCATAAAGATAAAACAGATTTTACCTGGAGAATCTTGCAGCGTGGAGAGTCACAGCCCATGTCTTCACAAGGGTGGAACATGCCCAAAGTGACACAGTTCAGGAGAATTACCAGCATACTGATTCTTTCAAACCAGGTGCAAAGGGGATCAGTCAAGGAAAAGACCAAGTTCAGAAAAGGACTTTAAAATTAAATACACATTCAAAGGGAAAGACATGGAGGCATTTTATGCATATTTAAGTTAAGTCGCTATAGAAAAGAGTAGCTAAAACATGTTCTGTATGGATTTGAGTGCCAATGTTTTCCTGTAACAGTAATAGTACTACTTCTTTCTAATTTACCTTCTCCAGAAAGATCATGTACCAACCAGTCACACCTATATGCACCCCAGTCGTATTGCAGTTTTGTAAAACACACATTTTACCTGCTTCTTATCTTTGGCCAGCAAATCTTGGGGAAGATATGAGGGTTAAATGAAAACTAATGCCTCCACCTTTATAACTGTAAATTTGGAATATTTTAATAAATGAATTAGGAAAATAATCTTTGAAATGAGCTCTTTTGTTACTTGTATTTACTTCTCCATATATTACCACCATTTACTGCACTTCTGCCAACAATTGGGAAGCTAAATAATGCTAAAGAACCCCACACTTAATCTCTTCAAACATGTCAAGATAATCCTTTCCGCTTCTACTTCTGAGTCAAACAAATGCTCACAACTGTATTTCTTCAATTTTTGGGAAAAGGTGGAAGTACCATGTTTGGACTATATAGTAGATGGAGTAAAAGGGTGACAATCAACTTCAGGTTAGTTTCTTAGGTAGCTCATGATGTATGAGGCCAAGCAATGTGATGCTGTATCAAAAATTTCCATCTTGTGCTTCCAAACTCTGCTTAATCATTGTTTCAAAGTTTTGGACAATAATAATATTATTATTATTGGAAGGGACCTTGGAGGTCATCTAGTCATCTAGTCCAACCCCCTGCTCAGGCAGGAAACCCTATACCATTTCAGACAAATGGCTGTCCAGTCTCTTCTTAAAAACTTCCAGTGTTGGAGCATTCACCACTTCTGGAGGCAGGTTGTTCCACTGGTTAATTGTTCTAACTGTCAGGAAGTTTCTCCTTAGTTCTAGGTTGCTTCTCTCCTTGCTTAGTTTCCATCCGTTGCTTCTTGTCCTGCCTTCAGATGATTTGGAGAATAGCTTGACTCCCTTTTCTTTGTGGCAACCCCTGAGATATTGGAACACTATTATTGTTGTGGTTGCTGCTGCTGCTGTTGTTATTGTTATTATTATTCTCATCCTTATTTCTGTGGTGTGACAACAAGTACTACAAAATGTCAACTCTTAAGAGTTTTACCTGAAATGTAAAACTTTTCTATTTCTCTCTATCTGTTAGCATTCAAGGAACCCTTCTTGCACAGACCTTCTGATATTGAACAATAATAATGAAGATCAATAATGTGATCAATAAAGTGATCCCACACATTCCTGTGAAAAACAAAGCTTGACAGCAAATTTCACTTTGAATATTCAGCTGATTGTCTTCAACCTGTCTCATATGAAACTCATTGGTTGCAGTCATAGGTTATCTATTTTGTCTTTGATCACAGAAAATCAGCTCTTCCTGGTTTATTTACCATCTTGACATTTTTTTGGTCCAGTGATGCACAGTATTCATATCAACATAGTCATCACCATAAACAACCTGCACTAAGTGGTACATTTCAGTTGGAAGAAGACTTTCAATAGTCAAAAATTGAATCATGGCACACTACACTGATGTGTATTCACTGAAAGCTTTGATTTCATGAACAATAACATGAATGTGTTGTCACAGCAACTCCGGAAGTGAAATAACAGATGCTAAAGGACACATCAAGAACACGTTTTGTGTAGTGGTTAAGGCATCAGGCTAGAAACCAGGAAATTATGAATTCTAGTCCCACTTGGGTATGAAGCCAGCTAGGTGACCTTGAGCCAGTCACTTTTTCTCAATCCCAAAAAGGAGGCAACCACTTCTTAAAAACCATGCCAAGAAAACTGCAGGGATTTGTCCAGGCAGTTTCCAAGCATCAGATAATACTGAATGAAAGAATAATAAAAAAGAAAAGGACATGTCAAGGCTTCTAGCATGTTAATACTGCATTTGTTGGTCACTTATATTATTGGAGATATTAATTACTTCTCATTCAACCCCTGTAAATTTGTACCAAAGAATCTGCACTTGGTGAGCAAGTGGGAGGATGACAAAAAGCACATGGATGTCATCATACAAATATAACTTACATGCATGAATCAAATGTGGGGATGCAAGCCCATAACCAAAGCATTTGCATCTTAATATCACTGCGCACATGTCATCATGATGGTCTATGGCAGCAACTTCTGCTTCTTTCTTTTGTAATACAGATAATAAAGGCTTCTTCAACATACCTAAGGTCTAGTATAGCTTTTTGATAGTTTTCTGTACTTCATAACACTTCATAAGTTTATTTATATTTGACAAAAACTACACAATCAAGTTTATACCAAGGGCTATTACATTTGTACTGGTTTTCATATAAAACTATGTTCTGTGATTTGGAAACTAGCCTGTTAGTACCCCTATCACTGTTACGATAGATGGAATTTTACAACACATCCTGCTTCCCTTGTTTTGAACAATTCCACCAGAAGTGGTTGAATGGAATTCTGAAATTATTTAAGGACTTGAGGTAATGATGAGTCAGTGAGAGGCCAGTGCTGTAGCTGTTGATGTTTTATGAAATCCCCCACTAAGGAATATGGGGGAAGAAGCACTCCATAATGAAAGGGGAGTAAAGCATGCTACTCTTCACTTAGGCAAACTCAGGCACAGAATCTGCCAAAATTCAAAGAACCTCGAGCTAAAACGGCCCATTAGCAATTTGAACTTCAAATTCTGACCTAAATATTATATCATCTCTAAGCTTGTAAAATCGCATGATCCCAGAGATACTGATCAGATGGAGCACAGGCTGATGCATTAAGCAACCTCTGTGTTTTGTTAATATTTTTCCCTCTCACAAAACTTTTCCAAGTGTACATAGCACTTTTATTTGATTCCCATTGTTTCTTTCCTCTGTGTACAGCTATTCAATTCCCATATCTGAAGCAATGCCACAAGAATATAATCCAGGACATAAAAGTCAGGACAACTTTGGATGTTGGTAAAGAAATGGCAATTAACTGTCTTGCAACATGGTTTATTTTGGGACTACATTTGGAAGTCACCTAATTGTAATCACCTCTGACCATTTTATGATTAATCCAATGAATTAAGTCTCATCTATCTTTCCAATTATGGACTATTCCTGCACATAAGCACTGGTATTTAGGGGTACTTAATACTAATGGATTAAAAAAAACCAGTTGCACATATACTTACCAAGAAATTTTTGCATAGCCTTCAGCAAGATATTAAGCTAGGGTAAGCGAGACACTGCAGTTTCTGGATTGGGGGAGATTACTTTGGGGAAACATTAATTCCCAAACATTTCTACTCAGAGTAGAAACTATGGTTATGTCAACCATAGTTGACATAGATTGAACATGTTGGGCCAAATAGCAATTCAACCATGGGAAAGGCAGGAGAAAAAGAGTGTTTTGCTCCATATTTACAGAACCAGATGCTTCAAATAGTTTCATTCTAGTCAGTAAGAAAGATCCTGATCTAGCTGTGCTATGCTGGGTGCCTGGGCAGTTTCTGCTCTGCTTGAGCCGTGGGAGTTCTTACACTGGAAATCTTATACCAACCATGCTGGATACTCCTCCTTGTAGATTATTCCTTTCTTCCAGGCATCTCTGAGTCAGCTGAAATCCTGGACACTGTCAGAAACAAACTTGATGAGGAGGTCTTGGCAGCTGCCCAAGATTGCCATGTCAAGCTCGATGCCAGTCATGCATACAACAAGGCTGAAGGGCTGGGGATGAGGAGGCTAGACTAAGGTTCAGTCCTACTGTACCTGAAAAGTCTCCCTCAAGTCACCTGAGGCATTAGGCCTGTCACTTCTATTGGCTGCACTGAAAGCAAACACTCTCAAAACTGAAGGCTTTTTCATGTTATGCTCTGAAACCCAAGAGATATAGCTCTCAGCATATAAAATGTCCCCATTCTTGGTTTATAGGATTATTTCTTCCTGTTTTCCTCCTGTTGAAAAGACTGGCATCAAATGGGAATAAATGTAACAACAACAACAACAACAACAACAACAACAACAACACAAATTATAGGCAGAACCTCCAATTTCAATCCAATCCAAAACGTTTCTACCAATCCATCAGTGGAGAAACTGCAATAAATCAGTCAATACATGACAAGGAAGAAACAGTGCAGTTCTGGAAGCAGATATGGGATAACCTAACGAAATACAATAAGGATGCAGCTTGGTTAAAAGAGGTGGATGCAAATAAAACAGAAGTTAAAATGAAAGAACTAATAATAACAGCAGAAATGGTAGAGAAAAGAGCAAGGAAAATCAAGAATTGGTCAGCACCAGGTGAAGATGAACTGCATGGGTTTTGGTTGAAACATCTAACTGTTATACACCCACTCATTGCCAAGCAGTTCAACAATATACTACAAGGAGGAGAAATTGAAAAGTGGCTAACAACTGAGAAAACCTACCTGATAATGAAAGATCCAGCAAAAGGGGCAGCACCAGGCAACTACCGGCCAATTACCTGCTTACCAACAACTTTCAAATTACTAACTGGTGTGGTAACTGATGCAGTCCAACATCATCTAGTTGAAAATAATCTCTTTTCACCTGAGCAGAAAGGAAACCACCCCAATGAACCGAGGTGGCGCAGCAGTTAGAGTGCAGTACTGCAGGCCACTTTAGTTGACTGTGTTCAGAGGTCAGCAGTTCAAATCTCACTGGCTCAAGGTTGACTCAGCCTTCCATCCTTCCGGGGTAGGTAAAATGAGGACCCAGATTGTTGGGGGCAATGTAAATATATATATACATTGCTTACTGGTGTACACCGCTTAGAGAGTGCTTGCACTTAAAGCGGTATATAAGTCTCATAAATAAATAAATAAATAAATAGCAGAGGAGCAAAGATCAACTTCTAATAGACAAAATGATATTGGAAAACTACAAGAGAAGGATGACCAACCTGAACATGGCATGGATTGACTACAACAAGGCATTTGACTCTCTGCCACATGACTGAATAATCAAGTGCCTAGAAATAACAGGAGTCAGTAGAAACATCAGAAAGTTTGTGCAAAGATCGATGGCACAATGGAAGATACAGTTGCAGGTCAATGGTGAGAGACTGGGAGAGGTTAATATCAAGATAGAAATATTTCAAGGAGATTCATTATCACCACTACTATTTGT